AACTCTACATAAAGTTTCATTACCTCATCATTTATAATAGCACGAAATCAGCAACAACTGAATATCCAATAATAGATGTTTTAATGCTTTAATAAATTATGGAGAGGATGGCCATGTAGCTGGAATGAGAGAAATGTAGAATGTTCTACATGAGAAAATTCCCAGACATCACGTGAGAAAAGTAGGTTACTTAACATGTACAGAACCCCAAATGTATGTTTTAAAAACATATGTATATGTGTGTGTATATATGCACATATGTGTTTATGTATTAAGTACGTGGGAAAGAGTCTGGATGAGTACACACCACATAGACAAGGATAGCTCTAGGATAGGAAATAGAAGGGATAAGAAGGGAAAAGGATTTTTCTCTGTGTGTTGGTGACTTAAATTTTTATAAACAATCATTATGTTTTAATTTAAGATGTTTAAACATAAATCTGGTTTCATTGTGGAAGGTGAATTATACTTGATAGCAATTTTCAAGTAGAAAATTGCTTGAAGAAGGGTATTTTACTTTTTCAACTGTAAAATAATCTCCTAATTAAAAGAGCTAATCATGAGGATTTTACATTTTGTTGCTCTTAGATGGCCTATTCTTTTTGCCAACATTATTGCTATTGTATAGGTAAAAGAAGCTAAAAATCCATCTGCAGGAATGAGGACTAGAAAGAACATGAATATAATTTTAGTAAGATAAAATTGATTGGATTTGCTAAACTTGTAAAAGTCAGGGGTAGAGTGAAAGGTAAAATTGACATAGGGACCCAGGAAGAAGCGCAGATTAAGCATGAGGATAATGAATTAAGCTTAGTATATGGAGAACCTGTGGGAAAATTTCTTTGAAGCTATCTAGTAGAAGATGTAAAAGAAACATCTGATGCCCTGAATGGCTTGGGCACTTAGATGACATTTTATGCCAGGATTGTTGGCGAGACCACCAAAAGAGTATATTCAATAAGAAAAGATACCTAAAAGATGGCACCCTAGAGGCCACTAATGGTAGGGAGCTGGCCCCTGAAGCTGACTGAAGAGGTGCCTCGCAGGAGTTGCATCCGCATTCCAGGATGAGGATGATGCAGTAGTCAGCAGTGTCTCACTCCACAGGATGTGGGAGAAACGAAACATGAATTTGTACGCAGTGTAAGAGACTCTGAGAAGAATGGATTATGGCGGAGAGCCCTCTAGTGGAGGGGAGCATGGTATTTGAGGAAGAGGAGGGAGTCTGATAAAGCCCACAAAATAATGTGGATGGTGCTGGCATAAAGCTTTTCCTCCTCAGAGTTCAGTGTGGTTACTTTCTTACTGGAAAGAGTGAAGCAAGGAGCAGTTTTAGTCTCCTGAGGTATGTAAATTGTTCTGCCTGTTAAAGGTAGAAAAGAGATTTTGAGGAGCTAAAACTTGTGGACAAAGAGATTTCTTCAGCAGTGGTAAGTCAGGGAAATTTTCTCCCAAAGGGAAATTGCAAAAACAAAAGCAAAATTGCCAGTAAGGAGAAGCTGCAGGAACTTTGAATACCAAGCTGAACTGAAGTTTCAAACAACCCCTGGAAGGATAAGTTAAAGGAACCTTAGCATAAGTTGCTAAAAGAATTATAAAACATTGCCCTTTATGTTTTTTTCTTATAGTACTTCTTCTGGAAAGCTGCTTGCTTTGTTTTTTGTTTTCTGTGTTAATTATATTAAAACTGAAACTTATAGGGAAGAAGTTCTTCATTTCTTCCTTATGCAAAAGATGAGTACAAGAATAATACATATCACCCTCCTCTGTGCCTAACTAAATTCATAATTACACATAGACGAAATTGTGAAACAGCATATGTATAAATAGTTCATATTGCTTACCCCAGTATAGAAGTAGAATGAAAAGGTAGAAATTAATTTTTTTTCATTTCTTTCATTTTGTTGTAATTTTTATAAAACAAAAGTATGTAGTATTCAGGATGAAAAGCTAAAAATTAAATTAACACATTTATATAAAGATTAAGAAAACAGTGTAGAGGAAGAAATGTAAGAAAAGTTTGCACTTTGAGTTTATAATGTGTATCTTTGTTAAATAGAATAGAGTATATAAAATATTCATGAAAGTATATACTTTTGTTATTTGTATTATCAGCATCTTTCCATAATGTTACATCTGTATTTACTTCTTGGAAACTACATAGAGCTTTAAAAACTTTTTGAGGGAAACTTAAAAATTTAGATATGTGTACAGAATAGGGCAACTTAATGACTTTTAAAATGTGAAGGCACTTAAATGCCCACACTCGAGATCAAGTTAAAGAGCATTGCTAATCAGCACATACACCTTTCTCACGTTGTCTCCTCAGTCTTTCTCTCCTCAGTCTTTTTCCTTCTGCATCAGAAATCAGTTCTAATTTCTATCCTTGTAGATTATTTACTTTTTAAAAAATAAATCATATATTTGTGTATGGCTTTTTTGTGTGTCTGGCAACATTAGTTTTGTGTGTTTATATGGGTAGTTGTAAAAATGTAATAATAGTTTAACATTTTTCTATGTATGACTATCACAATTTAAGCTGATGGGCATTTAGTTTTTTGAATTGGAGACTAGTATGGAAAGTCATTTTTTAACCTTCTTGTACATGCTTTTTGCACATATTTCTATTGCATATGTACATATTTCCGTGGGTGTATATACTTGGTAAACACATTACTAAGTCATAGTGTGTACATAAGTTCAGCTTTAGTTGATATTGTCCACCTGTTTTCCAGAGCCATTTTACTCTTATATGACAGTTCTGTGTATTCCATATACTTGGTATAGATGTTTTTTTGTTTTTCTTTTGTTTTCTTGTTTGATAGCTTTTTATTTGTTTGTTTGTTTGTTTATTTTATTTGGTACCAGGGATCAACCTCAGGACCCTGTGCCAGTGAGGTGGGTGTGGTGCCACTGAGCCCTTGCCCATTTGATAGCTTTTTCAAACATTAGTTTAAAAATTTGTTAGTATTTGGTTATATAAATATATACTATAACTTTCTTTTCATGGACTTTTGCCACTTTCTCCCTCCTATCCACATAGCAGAACCTGGATAGCTACCATAACTATTGGGCCCTCTGGTTTGTTCTATGTGTGATTTCACTGTGTAGGGAATGTTTAATATTGGAAAAAACTAACAGAACGATAACTTTTTTTTTTCTTAACAGATTTTCCTTAAATTCCATGTTTTTTGTTTGTTTGTTTTTTTTGGTACCAGGGATCAAACTCGGGTTGTTGCATTTTGAAGGCAGGTAGCAGCACCACGGAGCTAAATCCCTGGCCCTAATTCCGTTCTTTAGTTTTATGGTACCAACATGAAGAATGCATGTAAAGTAGTTTATTTTGTGGTGTGAAATCAATTTTTATTCCATAGTACTAAATGGGTGCTTTTTTTTTACTCTTATTTAAAATACTATAAAAAATACCGTGATTTCTGAAACTATACTTTTGGTGAAAGTATTGGAAAACATGGCTGATTTAATTGTCAGAATAATTGCATTTACTTGGAACACTCATACAAGCACCTGTGTCACATAGATCTTCAGTTTGTTAGAAAACTGATCTGTGAATTACTTGACAGTGTAATCGCTCAGGGTTTGGAAAACTATTTGAAATTTGCCCTTTGCAAGTAAAAGATATTTCCAATCAGGGAACCTTATTTTACAGTCTCTCTTTTAACACTCTCCTCCATTTCCTCAAAGTTTCTTTAACAAAGGGTTCTAAGTGTGTGAAACTCTAGTGCTTGTTTTTAATGAATTAAATGCGACTGCCAAACCTCCTGCTTTTTCTCCTGTTAGGAGGTGTGATTACTTCATGATAACCACTCTTCCTGTTTCTTGTGCATTACAGCTTTAAACAGGTGTTGGGCCCAGTGGTAATAATTGCTTGGTAAGGTATCGGTAACCCTCTCCCATAACTGAATGGTCTTTGAGAAAATACCTTGTGGACTTTCCCCACACTCTCTGCTTTTGCCACTTCTGTTTCAATTATTCATTTTTTTAGAAGAGCTATAGTGGCCAGAAATGTGATTCTTATTCTAGTTGTTTTAGTCATGCTTTTCTTTTACTTTCAGATATAGAGATTCTTCACATTTCTAATTGTTATCAAGAACTTCTTAGTGATAGCAGAAGACTACCTTATATTCTGTTCCTCTGGGGGAGAAGGGAGTATTTGTGTTCAAAAAATTTCTGCTGAGACTTCTTCGGAGTTCATAGTGCAGCATAAGTCTAAAAGTCTGCTGGTTCTTTTTTATACTAATGGTAATGAGTCTATAAATGCCTAAATGAATAACAAGCCAAAATCCTTATTGAAGACAGTAAGTGACCTTTCTCAGCTTTCCTTTCCTATTTCCTAATTTTAAAAATTAATTTATTCTTATTAAGTTTATTTATTTATGAGACTGGGTCTTACTATGTAGTTCAGACTGGTCTTGAATTTGCTATGTAGCCCGGGTTGGCCTCTAACTCTCAGCAATCCTCCTGCTTCAGCCTCCCAAGGATTACAGGTGTGTACAACCATGCGAGGCTTACTAGCCCCTAATTGTGTGTGTGTGTGTGTGTGTGTGTGTGTGTGTGTGTGTGTGTGTGTGTTTTGCAGTATCAATATTGAGTAGCAAAACTTTCTGACTTGATTTTTTTTCACTCAGTATCTGTTAAAACGTTCTGATTGTCTAAACCAGAGGTGGAGGGAGGGCACCAGTCAGTGAAGGATAGCTTTTGACTGAAAACAGTTATTTAGGGCTTTCACTGTTTATCTCATATGGATGGACCCTGGTTTGGAGGTTAATTTTCAAGGCCACTGTAAAGTCTTGGTTAATAAAATGCTTTGCCCACTAGTAGACAGTCTCTGAGTGTGGCCTAGCCAGTGCAGTCAGCCTACTATAAAAAAGTTGGCATGAGTTTGCAGCTTCCTTATAGAGTGACACCAAGAACCAGCAGAACCGCCACTCGCTTCACCGTCATTTCAGTGCCCTCAAAAGCTTTTCTTTTTTTCTGCACAGGTATCAGCCAGAGCCGGATCTCTCATTGGCTGTTGCAGCAGGGATCAGACCTCAGTGAACAGAAGAAAAGAGCATTTTACCGATGGTATCAACTTGAGAAGACAAACCCTGGTAAATATAACTTCCTTTTTATTTATTGTTTCAGAAGCAAGACGAATGTTATTAATTATTTCATTGAAGTTTTAATAATATATATGCAAATACATCACTACTTCCTTACTTGATCAGTATTTTAAAATTGAGATTTCTTTCCCTTTTCATCCTTCTTTCCTTATCTTGGTTCTTTGAAATCCAATATGTATTTTCACATATTTTCAAACACCTCAACAGTTATATGTGGCTGGTGACTACCATATGAGACCACTTTTAAGATATGGTTGAAGCAGCACTTTGAACTGAATGCTAAGCAGTCTTTCCAACAGACATCACTTCTCCCATGATTCACAGCAGAGCAAGTCAGATGGAGAGGGACACGAACTTGGCACTTAGTCTGTTTAACAGGACAGCCTGGGCTAACAGCAAGGATTCAGCTAGGTAATCAAAGAACTGTGTCCAGAGGTTTTATAAATCTGATCACATTCCAGACAAGCCATTGGTGACCTCAAGGGGGACTGACTACCAGAGGAATGATCAGGATGTCCCACCATGTGTAGTGCAGAGGAATGATGAATTTGGGGGACAGACACAAGGCAGCTGTGCCAGGCAATCAGCCAGCACAAGAGAAGCGATTTTTGTCTCTTGATTTGGCATTTAGAATAGAACTGACATATAACCTATGTATGGCTGTTGAGGGAGTCCCACACAGGAGTTCCAGGGCAGACTCTGGGTCTGGCAGAGATCAGGAAACTGGAAAGAGGACTGAATGCCGCTCAAAGGCTGCAGCTGATCCATTAACACTGCAGAGAGTGAGAAGTAGAAACCTTTTTTTTTTCTTTTTCCTAGCACCAGGGATCTCTCAGGACCTTGTGCTTTCCAGGCAGGTGCAGTACCACTGCAGCACCACTGGTAGAGTCCTGTTTTTAGTACATGTGCTGCCAAAGTGAGCAGAGTCCAGTTTTTAACACTAGGTTGGTCCTAGTTTTCTGGAGCTGGCTTTTAAAAAGTTGTTGTTTTGCCTTATGTTTTATTTTATACTTAAATTTCTCAGAACTAGAACTAGGCTTACCTATAATTGGGAAATTGGAGGAAGTGGAACCTAGGGTGCTGAAATGGGAAAGGACCAACAGCATTCATCTCCTTGATGTTTAAGAGCTACTTTCTCTACAAGATAGTGCCTTCTTTTAAGAATAAGTTCCCTGAGCTGGACATAGTGGCGCAATCCTGTTATCCTAGTATGTGGGAGACAGAAGCAGGAGGATTGTGAGTTTGTGCCCAGCCTGAGAAATTTTGTAAGAGTCTATCTGAAATTAAATGAAAAGTGGGTTGGTGATGTAGCTCAGTGAAAAGGTTCTGGATTTTACATCTAGTACAAAAAACAAAACAAAACAGTAAGTTCCCTTTGCTGCTTGTGGTGCCTCACACCTGTAATCCCAGCACGCAAAAGCTGAGGCAAGAGGACCACTGGGGCCACATAGGTCAAGGCTGGACACCATAGCAAGATTCTGTTTTGAAATTGTACACACACACAAAAAGAACAGATTCCTTTACTTGTATGTTTCTGTGTCAAGGAAGTTGCATTGCTGTCATTTTCTATTTTTTGTTTGAAAACCAAGTCCATACTTACTCTGTCAAGTCAAGTTTTCAGTAGAACATAATTTAAAAGCAGCTGTAAAGGGTAAGTTCATAATTCCCAATGAGTAGTTCTTGTTATATTAACAATAATTGAATATTAGCAATTACAATGTCTTAAAAAATTTCTTTGAGGGCCAGGGATTTAGCTCAGCGGTTCAGTGGCCTGCCTTGCAAGCGCAAGGACCCAATTTCGATCCTCGGTACCAAAAAAAAAAAAGAAAAAAATTTGTGCATTTCCATAGGCGTTGATGTGGCATAGAACTCTTTCTGGCAATTTTATTTTGTTGACTTTAAAATGACCTTTGATTTTGGCTAAAGAACAGTATTGTTTCTTCTTTGTGAGTACTTTGAAGGTACTATTACTGTTTAGAAAAGATGACCTAAACTATAGTGCCACCTAAATATAGCTTATTTATTAACTAATTTTTCTCCTTTGTAAATTTGGGTGTTAAAAAGCCAACAAAATAACAAAATGTGTTTGTATATTCTATGTCTCTGTTCTTGGCCTTAAAGTATTTTTATTTGCATACCCTGAGTGAAGTTCTCATTTTCACCCTCTTCATTCTAGATCACATTTAGCTTTTCTCTTTCTCCCTAATCCCTCCTTCCTTCCATCTTTACTTCCTTTTTTTCCTAAAGTTCTTTTTATGTGGACTCATCAAGAAAAAAGGATATTTAGGTTGTTTTTCCTGATAATCTAATGGCTATTGATGTAGTATAGTTCTCTGATAAATAGACTCATCAGCATAATTCCCAGTATAAGCCAAAGCCTGCCAAGGCTTACAAGTAAAACGGGCAGGTAGGAACTAATCAGAAGTAATTTATCTTGTTTTTTATGAAAACATTTACAAATGCTGGGGATTTAGCTTAGTGGTGCCATGCCTGCCTGGCAAGTGCAAGGTCCTGAGTTTGATCCCAGTACTGGAAAAAAAAAGAAAGAAAAAGAAAAAAAATTACAAGAAAATGCCTACTTTTAAAAATGAAATGTGTGCCAAATTCAGCACGGTTGATATCCAATGCTCCTTTATTTAATAAAATTAAACTCAAAAGACTTTTTTTTTCCAGTACCAGGAATTGAACTCAGGGCCTCACAGTTGCCAGGCAGACACTGCCCCTCTGAGCTACATTCCTGGCCCTGAGAAGTTTTTTCTCTTGCCTAATTTAAATAGTACTACAGCAGACTAGGTTTGCTGTGCCTTTAGGCTGTGGCACTGATTCTGCATACTCCTAAATTAGACAATTAAAAGTTTGCTAAGAGGCTGTCATAGCAAGGGCACGAGGTAAACACGGAGCTCAGAGAGGTACCCATTCCTTCCCACACAAAGCTTGGGGAGGTGACATGGGAAGGAGACAGTCGACTTTGGGAGAAGCTAGCTTTTTTCCACATGAGGTTTAGATTTGCTAGGTGAAAGTGCAAAATTTTGTTTTAGTGGAAGCTCAGATATAATATGGGAAAATGGTTCTGTAAGGAAACAGGTATTTACCTACACTTTCCTATATGGACCTTCAGCCAGCCCAGGACTGCTGTGTTTATCTTCAGAGGAGTCTGAGGTATATCTGCATCATTCTTGCACTCTAGTATAGTTGTATTTTTCTGTTAGAGTCAATGATTTTTTTGATTTTTTTGGGGGGGAGGGTGGTACCAGGGATCGAACTCAGTACTTCATGCTTGCCAAGTAGGCACTGTGCTGCTGAGCTAAATCCCCAGCCCTAGAATCAATAATTTTGAGCCGATTCTTGGATTAGTCATTATTCTCCATCTATTTATACCAGAGCAAGATGAACTAGGCTAGGGTGTTTAGAAGAAATCTTTTTATTGGAGTGTTTTTTTTTTTTTTTTTTTTTTTTTTTTTTTTTTTTCTCTTACTGAGTTTATTGGTACAGTTTAGGTATACAGTACAGTTACATTCATTATTGGGTTCTTGTACCTTTATGTGTCAGGTCTTGGTTCTCATTTTTCCCCCTTCTACCTGCCCTCCCTTCACCTCCTCCACCCCTCCCCATTTGCAAACTTTATTTCCATCTTTTCATTTTCTCATATTTTTTTCTTTTCCCTTATTACCTTTCCTCTACCCTTCCCACTTTCCCCACACCTTTAGCCCCTTCCTATTTCACATTGTCAATTATCTTATTAGGATCTTATGTACTATTATAGCTTTTCACACCAGAGAAACTATTTGGTATTTATACATGTGTGACTTATTTATTTCACTTAGGAGTATATCCTCAATATGTATCCATTTTCCTATGAATGAATCTAATTTCTCATTCTTTATGGCTGAGTAGTATTCCATTTTATAGAAAAACCACATCTTCTTTATCCAGTTTCCAACTGATGAGCAAATGGGCCGTTTCCAAGTCTTAGCTATTACAAACTGCCGCTATAAACATAGGTGTGTATATATTACTGTGATATGATTCTTTTAATTGTTTTGGAAAGATACCCAGCAGAGGGATGGCTGGGTCAAATGGAACCTCTAGTCCCAGCTCTTTGAGGTATCTCTATATTGATTTCCATAGTGGTTGCACCATTCTGCACTCCCACCAACAATGGAGAAGGGTTCCTTTTTTCCCACAACCCTGCCAACATTTGTTATTGTTGGATTTCTTGATAGCAGCCATTCTTTGTGGGGTGAGGTGGATTATCAATGTTGTTTTCATCTGCATCTCTCGAATGACCAGTGATGTGGAACATTTTTTCATATATTTATTTGCTGCTTTTATCTTATTAAATAGCTTCTGCGCTGCAAAAGAAACCATCAACAGAACTAAGAGACAACCTACAATGTGGGAAAAAATTTTTACCAGCTGCTCCTCAGACAGAGGACTATTATCTAGAATATATAAAGAACTCAAAACAATCAGCCCCCCAAAGTAAGGACCCAATTGAAAAATGGGCATCTGAAATGAACAGACATTCCTGCTTATGTCTAAAATTTGTTAACTGAATTAAGCCTAGACAAATACCCAGCTTGTTTTGGCATAATAGTAGCCCTTTTCTTGAACTACTTAAAGAACAGTTTCAGTTTGAGTTTCAAAGTGAATTGGCCAGAAATATTTTATTTTTTTCTGAGAGAGAAATAAAGACTAACAGAGAGCAAGAGAGCTTTCCATTTAAGAGAAACTATGTGATATTTAAACTTGTGTATCTGACTTATTTCACTTAACATGTTCTCAGGTTGCATCATTTGCATATGAATGTCTTGTTTGTCTTTCTTTATGGCAGAGTAGTACTCCATTGTGTATAAACACCACATTTTGTGTATGTGTATAACTCTTGTGAGTATGTGAGTAACTCTTTTGGGTGGGTAGCTAAAAGGAGGATAGCTGGATCAAATGGAATTTCTATTTTTAGTTTTTTGAACAGTCTTCACACTGCTTTTTATAGTGGTTGTACTAGTTTACATTCCTACCAACTATGTAAAAGAGTTTATTTTCATCCACATCTTCGCCAGCATATGTTATTACAAGATTTGTTGATGATAGCCATTCTTTCTAGGGTAAGGTGGTATCTCATTGTAGTTTTAATTTACATTTCTCTAATGAGACATTGAACATTTTTTCATGTATTTATTGGCTAGATCAGAAAATTGTGAAAGCCAAGGTCAGCAAACTTTCTGTAAAGGGCTAGATAGATGTTTTAGGTTTTGGAGATATGTGATCTCTACAACAGTTACTTAGCTCTGTTGTTATATTACAAGAGCAGTCACAGACAGTGTGTAAATGAATGGGCATAATTATGTTCATTAAACTTTATTTACAAAAATAGGCAATGGGTCCTTGTTTGCCAATTCTTGTTTTAAATGATAAATCATTGTGTGACGTATTTGATCATTTGAGAAAAAAGGTTAAGTATTTCACATCACATACTACACAATTAATATGTATAAAGGGCCGAAACTCATAAGGGAAAACAATAAAAATATTCTAATGATATTCAAACCCACTGGCCATATAAGGATTGACATATTTGACTGCATGAAAATTAAGATCACAAAGTATACCATAAGTAAAGATAAAAGACAGATGACAAAATTGAGAAAATAATTTTAATCTATATGACTAGCAATTGATATGGTTTCTATATACCAATAAGATAAGTAACACAAGGGGTCGCGGATTTGACTCAGCGGTTCCACCGCCTGCCTCACAAGCGCTAGGCCTTCAGTTTGATCCCCAGTATCCCCAAAACAAAAAAAAAAAAAAAAAAAAAAAAAGATAACACAAAAGAAAAAGGGAAAAAAGATACAGAAAATATAAAATGGTCAGTAAAAGGGGAAAGATGCTCATTCTTACCCATAGTGAAATCTCTATCTTAAAGGGAAAGTTTTTGCTGCTGAATTTATAATTTAGGTAAATAGTCTCATAACAGTGTTTTGGAGGATGTGGAGAAATAAACAACTGGATATGATTTTATTAATTTTTTTATTGTTATACAGCAAAGAACCCCACAATTTAGTGACAAAGCGAGTATTTACTCTCGGATCTAGGGGCAGTGGGACTGAGTGGCTCAGGCTGAGAATTCTCAGGAGGGTGCAGTCAAACTGTCATTAGGGCTGCATCATTGGGACTGGATGGGTCCCTTGGAAGAGTTTTTACTTGGAATCTGGCCAGTCCCAATTCCTGCCAGAGACAGCTGCTCCTCTGAGGCCTTACCCTCCACTGTCTAAATGTCCTCATACATGGCAACTAGTTTTCCCTTGATAGGTGACCCCTAGAGACAGAGCAACCAAGACAAATGCCCCAGTGTCTTTCCTGATCAAATCCTGGAGGTGAGACACCATCACTACCATGTGCTGTTGGTCGTACAAATTATAGTACAGTGTGGGAAGTGATTTCACAAAGGATACATACCAGGCGGCAGGGATCCACAGGGTTCCTGGAGACTGGCTACCACAAGATTATATTAGACTGAGTGTCTTAGGCCTTCTTTCTCTGTCACCTAGGTTCTAGAACTTTCTGCATGATGTTTGTTGTGGCTGGAGTTCCAAGATGGCTTTTTCCCTCAATTGGCTGGCACCTGAGTAGAATAGCAGGAGCACCTCGGGCCTGACCAGGCATCTTGCATTCCAGTGACCACTCCACATGGCTCGCTTGAGTTTCCTTAGGGTGTTATGGCCTCTGGTTGATCAGGCTTCTTATGGGGTGATGAGCCAACACTCCAGGAAATCTAAGCAGAAGCTGCAGAGCTTCTTATAATCTAGGCTTGAACTTTCTCATGTTCTTCTCAAATCTTAACGGCCGAGATTTAAGGGCCTGATTGCAAGGGGACATGACTAATTGTGAATGTCCGTTTTTTGAGCCTGTGTCAGGGAGTTATGATTGTGAGGAATGATGCTGGCTTGCTCTTCATTGCTAAGTGAGGATAATAAAAATTGTTCTGATACTGAATATGTTTTTAAAATAAAATTTATAGATTGCCTGTGGATTGGAAATGTATTATGTGAGAGAGAGAGTCTCTCTCACATAAAATGAGTCTGAGATTTTTGAGATGAGCAGTTTGAAGAATGGAAATCTATATATTGAGATTGGAAAGACCTTGAATAACCATTTGAAAAAGAAAATCAGGACTGGTTAAGACACTGAACATCTGTGTAAAAAAACTTCTTATAAAGTTGTAGCCATTTAAGAATGGGATTGAGCCAAGTGTGGTGGGACACACTTCTAGTCCCACCTACTTGGGAAACTGCGGCAAGAGGATCACTTGAGCCCTGGAGTTTAAGGTTAGCCTGGGTAACATAACAAGACTGTGTCTCAAACAATAACAAATAAAGAAAAGGGACCTGTACTACTAAATCTGTATGTACTGAGATAGAAACACTATTCATGGTATCAGTGAAGAAGGTATGATAGAGTATAATTTCTGTTATGGAGGAATATACTTAGTAATATAGGGATATTATGTTTAATATACTTATTAACATATGTGTAATACCTATAACTTCTACCTTTCCAGGGCTGTTACTAATAGTTTGGATTAAAGCGCAGGCAAAGGGAACTTCTTGAGAAACTCTTTTGGTCCTGGAGGGAGTACTGGGGATTGAATCCAGAGCCTTCACATTGAGCCACATCCCTAGCCCTTTTTTATTTTGAGATAGGGTCTCACTAAATTGCTCAGGGTGGGCTTGAACTTGAAATCCTTCTGCCTCAGCCTGTCAGAGTGCTGGGATTACAGGTGTGCACACTGGGCCCAACATTTTTGAAAGTTTTTGGTGAGAGAAGTGATACAATCATAATTATTCTTGGAAAGATGAATTTAATAGTATTTAAGAAATAAAAGAGGGGCCAGGGATTTAGCTCAGCGGTTCGGTGGCCTGCCTTGCAAGCACAAGGACCCGAGTTCAATTCCTGGTACAAAAAAAAAAAAAAAAAAAAAAAAAGAAGAAGAAGTAAAAGAATAATAGAGGAGCCAGAGACTGAACTCTGGGAGCATACCAAGCTCTATTCAAATTCTATCAAATAAGTCCATAGAAGTCAGAGATAATGTAGCTTTTCTTGTTTTATTCTAGAGAATACAGACTAGAATAAAACCACAGGAAAGTGATTTGGTAATGGTGAATGAATAAATCAGTGTCCATCACCACTTCAGTGGGTTTGAGAAAGAGCTAGTCTGAATTATAAAATAGTTGAATTACAGATTTTTATTGAAATTTTATTACATTCAGAGAAGGATAGAATATAGTGTAGTATCAATAGGTAAACCTATAAAGACTTGATTAAATGCATATCAAATACCATCTTATTTTCTTTGCTCTTGCATTTGGCATTTTTTTGTGTGTGGGGGACAGGGTCTCACTATGTAGCCCATATTGGCCTCCTGCCTTAGTCTCCCAAGTGCTGGGATTACAGGCGTGTGCTGCTGTGGTTGGCTTTTGGTTTTGTTGTTGTTGTTTCTAAGAGTTATTTTATAGAAATGAATATATTCTATAAGGGCTTCTGCATCTTTCAAGTGGTAATGAAAGAATCTGAATATCTAGAATATACTGATCAACAAGATTACAGCTGTTGAGTAGGAATTTCAAGAGAGGATTTTCAGAGGACGATACACTAAGGTGTCAGTTAGCCAAAGACCATACTTCTCTGTTCCCATATGAAGGATTCTGTGTGCTTTTTTTTTTAGCACCATAAAAGTGGATAATAGGTAAAAGACAAAATGGGGAAAATAACATTACAAAATAACAAATGATAGACTTTTTATTTACTTATTTATTTTTTGGTACCAGGGATTGAACTCAGGACCTTGAGCTTGCAAGGCAGGCATAGCACCACTGAGCTAAATCCCTGACTTTTTAATGAAGATATTTTTACTTCTTTAGATCTTTATTTGGGTGAAAATTTTTTAAATATAAATACTAAATATATTGGCCTACAATTTCAGTGGAAGAACAAAAGTGTATTACACTCAAGGTTCATTGTTATTGTTTTTGTGATATCTATGCAGTATTAGTTTTAATAAATTACAAGATGGTTGCTAAAAATTTCTTGTTTCAGGGGCGACACTAAGTATGAGACCAGCACCCATTCCAATAGAGGACCCTGAGTGGAGACAAACACCTCCTCCCGTTTCTGCCACACCTGGGACCTTCCGACTACGGCGAGGCAGTCGATTTACCTGGAGAAAGGAGTGTCTGGCTGTAATGGAAAGGTAGGTAGACATCTGCTTTTCATGTGGGAAAGACATTTTCAGTAGATTGGAACAGTTTTCATTTCCAACATATAATTTGGGATCTCAATTCTATCTTGAAAGCATTTTGAGAAATAAAAAGTATTTTGGAGTATTATAAGTGCTATATTATTGAATAAGGTATTAGTATTGAGAATTTACAAAGTTCACATCCATCAAGTTATTTTACTTAGCGTTCTAAGAAACTTTAGAAGAAATATTTTTAAATTTAGATCTTTGTATTATACTGTGGAAAACTCTTTGAAGTCTTATTTTCATCAACAATATTGAAGGATTGTATAGGCCACTGAAACTTGAGTTTCCTTAATAAAGAGGATGCACTTAGTCTCAAAGGTTAGAAAATAACTTATTTTTTAGTTTAGTAATTTGCCCTCCACTGTAGCACCAGTATCTATTCCAAACTAGGTATTCAGTATATTTCTAATCTTGGTTTCATTTTCCCATCTGACCTGGTAAAAATGATTATGAAATATTGACTATATTTAACATAGATCCTGTAGTACAGTTACCCTTTTAGTCACCTACCTATAAGTGATGCCTATAGAATTTTGTTTTAATGGAGAGGTGTACATGCAGTAGAACAGTAATTTCCCTGCTGTGCATTTTTCCCATATCAGACTAGTAAACTGGTATACTCAGCAGAGCATGACTCAGTCCCTGAGACCTGTTTAACTATTCAGTTCTCAAACTCTTAACTGTAGCTTTCTCATCTCCAATATGAAGTTTTAAGTAGCCAATATGTCATTTAGGACTTTTGTCATCTCTTCTTGCTTATTTTATGATTATTTCCCAGCTCATTAGCATTATTGCCTGAAAGATTGGGAGATTTACAGTGTTGCAATTCAAACCATGTTTTTGGTCTTGTGCTATAGGTGAAATTAATAGGATATTGGATCCAGTAGCTAAAATGAGGCTATATAGATTATCCATTGATACGGTCATCTATTCCTTTCCTTGCTTTCTTTATCATAAATAACATTAGAAGCCGTTTATTGAATAATGAATCCTTGTATGCTTGAGTGGTTAAAGTAAAAAAGTGAGATTTCATTGCTCTGAAGACCTGAGCATTAAATTAGTAATCAGCTCTATTTTTCTCATGTAGTAATTTTGGTTCTTTGTGAAAATTTGAAAATTACTACATAGGAGTTGGGAGTCAAAATAATATGTAACAATGAACTGGGGATTTAGTTCAGTGGTTCCTCCACCTGCCTTGAAAGTGCAAGGTCCCGAGTTCGATCCCCAGTACTTAAAAAAAAAAAAAAAAAAAAAGAAAAGCAATTAAAAATACTATGTAACTTAAATTATTTTTAATGTATATTCCTCTATGTAGCAAAATTAGCTTTGATATCAGTTTCTAGCTGGTATAAGTTCTCATTATGTTTACTTAACCATTAATGTTAATTTGTCATGTAATGTCATTGTGAGAAAGAATTAATTTAAAATTTGATAACATCCTAGACTACAAAATGAGTTCAAGGCCATCCTGCAATTCATAGTGAGACTTGGTCTCAAAAAAAAGTGATATTTCTAATGCATTTCTAGAATGGAACCTCAGAGACTTTAGATTTCATGAAGGTAACAGCAACAAGTCACACAGAGTCACTTGATTAAATTTCACTTTGTGCTGAGCTGGGCACAGTGATGCATTCTTGTAATCCCAGCACACTAAGAAGCTGAGGCAGGAAGATCATTAGTTTAGTCCCAGCCTGAGCAATTTAGTGACTTAGACTCAGTCACAAATAAAAATGGCAGGGATATAGCTCAGTGCAAAGGCTCTTGGTTCAATTCCCATACCACACCCCCCCAAAAAAGTTGAGCACTGACACTGTGTAAGCTTCCCATATAGCTTTAATTTATATTTTTAACCTTAATTTTAATTAATAAATATCCTTAACCCAGGAGTTGGTTATTTTTTATTTAATTTTATCTTATCTGGCACACCTAGCAAGAAAGTATAGAGTTTATTCCAACAGCTAAAAATTACAGAAAGTTCTTTGAAGTACTTAATAGCAATAGTATGGAAGAGCATGGTATGATTTTCATTCTGTGAAAATGGATTTTTTTTTTTCTAAAATGAAATATAAAATTGCCTAGTCTTAGAGTAACACATAATGGTTTTTGCCTAGACTGGATGGATAAATAAATACATAATGCACAGATAGTAAAACCAGAGTAAGTCTTGCTCAGATATATTAGTATAACATAAAAGTCAAAAATTATTCCATTCATCGTACTGTTCACCAATATAAATTTTAAATGAATCCATATATTTAAAGGAAAAAAAACACCCTCCATATCCTGGAAAGGGGAAAAATACTTCCCAACTAACTCAATATCCAAAAACAATAAGGAAAACTATTGCTAAATATGATTGAATAAATTAAAAGAAAAACTTTGGAGATAAAAACTGAGCAGTCAAAGCATGGTGGCTCACACCTGTAATTCCATCCTAGCCTGGGAAACTTTAGCAAGACCCTGTCTCAAAATTTAAAAAGAGGCTGGAGCCTATAGCTCTGTATGAAGGCCCTGGGTTCAATCCCTCATACCACAACAGAACAAAACATGACTGCCGGGGATTTAGCTCCGTGGTTTTGCTGCCTGCCTTTGCAAGCACAAGGACCCAAGTTCAATCTCCAGTACCATCATAACTGAACACAGTAAAACAAATTGGAAAACACATTGTAACTTTCATCATCAATATATAAGGAGCTCTGGAAAGAGAAAAGACCAATGACTCTGTAGGAAAAAAAAAAAACAAAAAAAACAGAAAAACCTAAAACCCTGATTACTTATCTCATTTTAAATTCATGACAATGAACCTGAAGTAGATCTTTAATTCTGCTAGGCAATCATACTGTCTTCCTGGCTCATTCTTTCCCTCTCTCAATGATTATTTCACACTTTGTTCTCTCTGTGAATTCCCTATTCCTCATTCTCACAATGACCTTGATTCTTGTTTGAACAAGGAAAATGAGGTGCTCAGAGGACAATGTCTACAAACTGTCTACTTGCTTGCATGTGCACACACACACGGACAACACATACTCTTCTGTCTCTTGGCATACCCACAGCACCTCAATGATGTGCACATATCTTCGTGACTGTTTCAGAGCTGCATGTGTATTTCCTCTTCTCTGACCTTATTGAGTTGTCTGTTCCACATATTTGATTTTCAAAATATTCAGCACCAGGGCTGGGGATTTGGCTCAGTGGTTCCGCCACCTGCCTCGCAAGCGTAAGGACCCAAGTTCAAACCCTGGTACAAAAAAAAAAACAACTCAGCACCAGAAACATTTATTATCACAGAGCACAGTATTGTATAATTCCATTTAGAAGAAATATCCAGAGTAAGAAAATCTGTACTGACAAAAACTAGATTAGTGATTGCCTAGGGCTAGGGTCTGGGGTGAGGACAGGAGAAGCAGCTAAGGAATATGTAGCTTCCTTTGGGGTTAAAGAAAAATGTTTATATTGCGATGCTAGTACAACTTCATGAATGTACTAAAAGTTATTAAATTGTGTACTTCAAATAGATGAGTTGTTTGGTATGTGAATTATATATCTCAAGCTGCTTTTAAAAAGAAACATTTATTCCGTGCATTAATAGGAGCTTCACATAAATTTTCCCTCCTTTTTGATTCTAATGTTGGGGCCTGGGATTTAGTTCAGTGGCACAGCACCTGCCTTGCAAGTGCAAGTTCCTGAGTTCGATCCCCAGTACCAGAAAAATGTGATTTTTTTTTTTTTATTCCACAGATGTGTTCTTTTGTTTATTCAATAAAGCATCTCCTAACTATGAGGTGAAGTACTAGGGATAGATAGAATATAAACAGTTTAGGAGGAAAGGAGAAAAGAGTCATCTCTCCAGAGCATATTCGACCTGAGCAGAGTTTACTGCAGGAGTTCTGAAGGCTCTATGGTCCAGGAGCGAAGCTTCTAATGCACTCTTTCCTCATTAACCTCTGTGTGATTTGGCTGGGAACAGATAGGTCTCTGCAGTGTTATGGTCTCTCTCTGGGACCTGGCTATTATACTCACCCCTATTTTTATCTCAAGAGAGGAGGAGGACAAAATATCTCTAAATCTTTTTATAGCTTGTTCAACGCAACTAATCCAGATGGAAAAAGAAGCAGCAACTTGGACCAGATAGAGGAATAAATGTGAGAATACCTAGCAATAATGGGTAGAAGCAATGGCCTGGACTGGTTAGATTATCAACTTTAAGTCAGATTTGTATAGAAACGTTATTTAATTTCTATTATTTTTAATCAAAGTGAGTAAATGATGACTTTATATTTGGGGTGTGTCCGGGAAGATGCCAATGAAGGCAATTGAATACCTCTGTGTGTTTCTAATTAAAGCTTTGCTTATTTTATTTTTCTTATGGAACAGTATACATACATTATTTATTTTTGTTCTTAGATTCTTCTCATGTGATATATAACAAAATAATTAATAAACCTAGAACACTGAAATTATAAGGAAAATACTCTCCCCAGCAGGCAAGGAATCATAGTTAAGAACTACAGTTTGAGAGTATGTCTTTTTCCCAAAAATTTAAGTATCCAAAAATAGTTTTTAGAATAAGTGTGTCTTTGTGAACAAAAATAGCATCACAAGCACAGCACTGTAACAAACTATAATTAAATCATACTTCTAAACTTGATGTCCCTGCCATTAGCGTGACGCGTATATAATCTGAATTAGGACACTTGTCTCATACACGTGTGTGTCTTATACAAGTGTGTGTTGTACATCCTGGGGAATTAGGATGGAAAAGACAAATAAGCTTATAGAGCATATTTCTAGAATGTTGCTTGAGGTTTCTGTAATTGAATTCTCTTAGTCTTTACTGCATTTTGGAATTCTTCCCAGGACAGTTTATTAGTGCTTGGATTTTGATTTCAGTCTCTTTCTCTTCTCCTTTTTACTTTTATTTTAGTGAATATTTAGACTATGAA